GCCACGGGTGGGATGCGGGCGATGGTGGCGGGCAGGCGAGTCACATCCGCCTTCATGTCACTCAGAAGCTCCTCCAGCTGCTTCAGAACTGCAAGAGGAAGGGACATCTGTTCGGGGGGAGGGGAAGAGGGACACCCCAGAGGGAAAGCACCAGAGGGGACAGCCATGCTGGATGCCTCTCCCACCCTGCGCTACCTTTGTGCAGCACCGCGTTGGCTGGTTTATTCCCGGCCATTGACTCCTTGGACAGGTGCTGGTGGCTCTCAGCCAGGCATTCCACCTCTGCGAAACGTGTGTTCAGAGCCATGGATGGATGAGACGGGTCTTCCGACATGTTCAGGTAGGCAGCTCGCCGCAGCTGCTCCTCGATCACCAGCGCTTGCTCCAGGAGCTGCAAGACAGGGCAGCAATGAGAAAAGGCCTTTCAGCAGCCACCTGAAGACCAGCCTGTGTGCAGCCTCAGGCTCCCCTGATCCAGTTCTCTGCTGTCTCAGGAGGTCAGATTCTGCAGCTGAACCTGCTTTCACCAGCTTCTGTTTATGCCGAGTAAAGCCTGAAGAGCCCAGAACAATTCAGGGCTCCATCAAGCTAGGCAAGGTACACAAGTAATAGAAGACTACTTTAAGTACTCTAGGATTCTCATTCCTCCTCAGATGCTTCTTGAAGACCAAGTTGTTTGCTGTTTTACTCTTTCTTTATGGAGCAAAGAGGACGGAGCATTCTCTGTGAACGTGAGTGAAAAGTACCCCATTCTACTTATAGGAAGAGCCTAAAAACTGTCAGGCATGTCAGGGGCATTTGGAGGAATCACTCTGAATGCTGTTAGCGTACAACTGATCAGCCAGACTGCACTGAATTAGGGTTCTGCCCCGAGACCCAGAACTTCGTGGCCTTTATTTGGGTTGGTCTTCAGTCACTCCCAGGACTGAGTTTTGGTCACTCCTAAGTAGGTTGAGGATGAGACTGAAGGCAACCCTTTCACCAATCCACTGTTATGCAGTGTTTCTAAGTTCTGCTTCAGCACGTTGAGCAGGCTGCAGCACATCAAGCAGAAGCTGTGATGGAAACAGCCGCTCGAACCTTAAGCCTCCTGCACACCAGTTGTTCAATAACCACTTGAAGAGAGAGCACTGAACCAAGCTCCCCAATACCACTTCTAGAGCAAAGGGCTCCCACCGTGGAGCTACTGCATGATCCTGAGAGATACTGCTCAGTTTTTGTCCCCCCTAAAATGACAAGGCACTGCAAAAGCCTTCACTTTCTTAGTGGAAACTCAGACCAGCAAGCTCTTGTTCTTAGAGGTCCAGCTGTCTGAAAGGCACTTATCACTCCAAAGAGAAATCCTTACCTTGAATCTCCGTGCCAAGAACTTATTCTTTATTTCCAGGAAGTTACCCCTGTTCATCTCACCCTTGAAGGGCTCATTGAGGATGGCGTAACGTGGATCATTCTGAATATCCTGCCAACGGGCATAGCCATGACTGAGATGGGATGAGCTCAGGCAAACAAAGGCAGTGAGAACAAGGGAATACACAGCCCAGGCAGACAGTTCTCAACAGGGGGCGGGGAAAGGGGGTGCAGAGGGGGGAGGAACAGGAGCCAAGGAAAAGGAATGAGAACTATGTCCTGCTAAGTCTTAACTATGTTGGCAGGAACTTTCAAAAAAAAAAAAAAAAAAAAATATACAGCACACTCTCACTTAGTGTATTCCAGTCAGACCCAGACCAGTCACCTTCACCACAACAGTTTCTGTACAAGGGCAGAGAACCTGTCCGTCAGGCTAAGGATACTTGATAATCCCAGCAAGGAGCCAGTAGTCATGACGCCGATGCCAGATCTCGTAGGTCTTCTTTGTGACAGTTGCAGCCCGCTCTTCATTCTGCCACAGAGAGTGTAGTTCTGGAAGGGCAAGAGACACCAGAACAGTTAAAAGTTATTTCACAAACACAAGCAGGGGCGTATAAACAAGTTCAAGCATGTAAAGAGTTCTTATACCAGTGAAGCCACCATCTGCTATGTTGAACATGAAGCGCTGCTTTACTGCCTTCTTGTGCCTTTCGTCTACTGACTCTTTCAGCATCTCTCCATTCTGCAGCATCACAACATCCCTCTTATCATCATCCTTTTTCTCATCTGTACACACAGGAAATTATTGGAAAGAACACAGCAGACACCACAGCAAGTTGGATCCACAAGGAATCCTTGCAGAAGAGGGGTTAAGGAAGAGACTGGAACTATCATGACTCACCTTTCTCATCCAGAGTGATTATAGGAGGTTCAGGGGGATTCTCAATAGATGCTCTGTCTTCTACTTTCTCCCCATCAGCTGCAGGAGAGAAGGGGAACATGATATGCACGGGAACATGGCAAGTCCAAGGTTTTGTTCTTCAGCCGGTGAAACCTAATACTGTTCCCTAACTCCCTGCTTGAAGTCCTGGAATAGCCCCACTGACTGTCTATATTTACACCTGTTTCTTTAGGATAAAGTGCTGAAGCAAAGACAACATAGTTTGAGGAAAACAGCATTTGAGAGGTGGGGGGTTTGTTGCTGTGCAAGGTATTAAACCTCCCTAGAGATACCTTTGCTTTCTACTTCCATTGGCTCATCCGGTCTTTCTTTCACCTCTGGTTCCTCTAATTTTTTTTCATCTGCTTCTGTGGAGTTCACTGGGGATTTTGCTTCCTGAGGCGGTGTCTCTACAGGCTGGGCACACTGCTGAGGCCAGAAATCAGTGAGAAGTGAGGTAAAGCAGCACATGTGAACAGAAGACAGTCACAGCAGTTTGTCAGGCAAAGAAGCACAAGACTGTCAGGCCGATTCTGAGGGCCTGTGAACCATCTTTAAACTTCGTTCCAAGAACTCACCTCTGTCTCAGCAGCTGAACGACACAGAGGAGGGGGCAGAAGTAGAGACATTTGCAATTGCACAAGGCAAGCGAGCAACCCACCACTCACCTCCATAGGGACCTCCGTTTCAGCAGCAGAGGCACTGAGCTCTTTCTCTGCTTCAGACGACTCTCCTTGCTCCTTACTACTGGCTCCTTCTTCTAGTTTTACTCCTTCTTCTGTGTATTCCCCACCCCAGAGCAGCCCAGCAGACAAAAGAAGAGAAGCCATCAGTAGGGTCTTCCCTCCACTGTCACCAAGCACACATCTCCTTTGCTCCCAGAGATCAGGCCCACAAAAATGGGACCAACATCACTCAAGATGAAACTCATCCCCCAACCCCCCCTTTCCTGCCTGCTACAAATGCTGGGCTTCTCACTGATGTCAGCTCACCCAAAGAAAGCTTGTGTCCTCTCTTGCCTTTAAGGGTTTGCACATGTCTTTGGCAGCCCTCCTAACACGAGAAGTAAACTGATCTGCGTCCACCCCCAGACCCCACCACCACAGCTCCGGTGAGGGGAACAGCCAGGATGAGGTCAGGACGCAGGACTGTACAAGAGGGGAGCTCTCACCAGGTGGAGGGACAGGGGCAGGCGTATTTGGCTGCGTATCCCCTGGTGTCGAAGGAGTTGGAGTTTTGGGAGAGGGTGAGCTTGGCTGTGAAAGTTTCTTGTTCTCCTCTATCTCTGCCAGTTCTGGCATACTCCAGCGGCCATTCACATGCTCAAATTCCTGCACCTGTACGAGACGGAGAGAAAGACCTATCACTGGAGGAGTCATACAAAGCTTGTCCTCAAACCAGAGGAGATAGACCACTGAGCACAAAACAGAAATAGGTGTGAAAGGACAGGTAACTCACTAGCTGAGGACCCCAGTGACTACAAGCTGTGTGGAGAGCGAAGGCTACATTGCTCTGCTAGGGCACCTACCTTTTTGCGTATAAGTGACATGACTCCAATACGAGTAAGGACATGCTGTCGAGAAAGACCTTCCCGTGGGACCCCATCTGCAAAGGTCTCTGCGCCATCAGCTCCAGGTTCACACAAATGGCGCATGAACAGCGAGACATAGGCCCTGGAGCAGTTAAAAGACAAGCAGTTAGACCATAAACTGGGTTAGCAGGAGGCATGCATTAGCAGACCCTTTCCAACACACATGAAATCACCCCTAACCCATAGTAACAGCAGTTCTGGGGTTCCAGGCTTGTTCAAGGGAGAATTTCCCAACAGAATTAACACATATGTAAAGGACACACAGCTGACCCACAAGTCTTGAGCCAGAAACAACCATAAGTGCAAAAAGGACTCAGGGACTGAGAATTTGTTACATGCTTGCACAGCCATGCTGCTCCTCTAACAGCATCTGCTTTTGGTGACTGATGAGTCGAGTCCAAGGAAGTGAACTAGGAACAATCCCCTAGTCTCTCCCAGATTATACTTCATTCCCCCACGAAGAATCAGCCAATACATTAAGGAAATGTAGTCTCCAAGGAAAGGCCAGAAAAGGCCCCATTCTCATTCTTCCCCAGAGGGACTAGATGTCGTCAGTCTTCCATCCCTGCCTGATGCAGACTCACTTGAACTCTTTCTCTGACTTGCCACGGAGGTCCCGAACAAGCCACTGAGTGGTGAAGGCATCCTGAGGTGGCATTCCATAGCGCATGATGGCATTGAGGAAGGCCTTCCGCTGGCGAGCATTGAAACCCAAGACCTAGAATTGAGGAGAAGATAGATATGGCAAGTGCCACACAGAAGCATGTAGGATGTAAACACCTACCCTTGTACTACTTACCTCAATGTTCCCTCCCACGCGGGCAAGTAAGGGAGGCAGAGGCTTATCCTTATCATTTCTTAGGCCTTTGCGGCTAGGCCGACGAGCTGCTGAAGAGAGAAACGCAGCTAAGGAGGAGAGACAACGCACAGCATATTGTTGTGTGAATATTTCCCTTGCAAAACAGCACCACAAAGTGTACAAATCACCCAAATCAAGTCCCAGCTGTTCCCACACTCAGAGAAAGTGACCCAGGAACTCTGGCTTCACCAGAACTTACCTTCAGACCTCTCATCAAAGTCCTCGTCTCCTTCTTCAGAAGCAACTGAATAATCTGACTGATTATCTGACTGGTCATCTTGCCAGTCTGAAAGAAAAACAGCACGTGAGCCTGAGACGCTACTCCGTTACTTCCCAGCAACATATACTTACGCCCATTTCTCCCTCAGGTTCCTGTGGATTTGTACCTCTATCCTCCTGCGAGCCATCATTGTAGTTAACTTGCTTGCGAATACGTTTGCCCTTGCCCAGATTCCTGGCCAGATCCTCCTGTTGCTGTTCATAATGGTGACGCAGCAGTTTCTCCCAGTAATCAGGATCCACTGACTCCTCCTGCTTAATGATCTCCCGTTCAACCTCCTCTTCCTCCTGCCACAGAGAGGTAGCAAATTTAGACACCTCCGCTCCAAATCCCAGCCCCTCCGAGCAGATATATGCCTGCTTGCCCTTAAAAGCATCAGAGCTCAGCTTGCTTAATTGATCCTAGGTCATTCACGAGACAATACTAGCTGGCATCCACCTCATACTCACCCCCATCTCCTCTTCACGAACCACATACTGGGCCACCTTGAAGGAGCTGAGATACTCGTTCATGCCCTGAAGTTCTGTATCTTCTGTTTCATCCTGGTTCCGATCCAACAGACGCTCAATTGCTTTGTCATCATAGTGGATGACACTGCTGTCCTCACCTTCTTTGTTATCCCCTGAAGGAAGAGCACAGACACAGTTGCTATGTGGGTATCAAGGGACTAGGGAAAGGGAATACCGCCCTAGACCTCTCTGTAGAGCTATAATCAGCACTGTGCCTACAGTCACTTGCTAAATCAGGAGCCAGACCTCCCCACCTCCTTCAGTTGTTCTCCCAGGCACTCACCCCCCTCAGTAGCCTCATCCTTGAAGAGCTCTTCAGTGCCAAATTTGAGAATGTCATCAAGTTCCTGTTTGGACATGGAGCCTGTCTTGGAGCCCAACCCTGGTCTCACTACCAGATGAGTTAGCATCATTTTCTTCTTGGCCACCTGAGTGATACGCTCCTCCACTGAGGCCCTTGTCACAAAGCGGTATATCATCACTTTCTTGTTCTGTCCAATTCTGTGTGCACGACTGAAGGCCTAGAAAAGAGATGTGCTCAGAACAACCTAGAGCTACGCAAGTAGTAGTCTGATACACGCCGCCTACCTCCACAAGTTTCCCAGTTGCCTCCATGTTGACTCTTAATATCAGTGAAGGCTGGGACCTGGAAGAACCCTCTGCTATTTCGCTTCCCATCTCTACCCATCCTCACTGCTCTAATTTTGCATATTTCTAGAGGGGAAGTCTCACATTCCTTCACTCCTCCTGATAATTTATTTCCCCTCTTCCTTAAGATTACTCTTTAGTGAGTGGTCTCATTCAGGCTCACCTGGATATCATTGTGGGGGTTCCAGTCTGAATCATAGATAATCACAGTATCTGCTGTGGCCAAGTTAATACCAAGACCCCCAGCTCGAGTTGAAAGCAGAAAGCAGAACTGCTGAGCACCAGGAGCTTAGATAAAAGGAGAGAAAAAAAAGTAATCAAGGGAGAGTGAATTACTCAAACAAGGATTTGTACCCAACCCACATCACCTAAGGGGGAATCACTACTAATTTAAGATTCCAGGAGAGCAATGGAAGACTTGGGCCACAACAATCCCATGTTGGCCACTAAGCACATACAACACAACAGTTTTAATTCTGCAAAGAAAGTAGGAGACTTCACACCATTGAAGCGATCAATAGCCTCCTGACGCATGTTCCCTGTGATTCCTCCATCAATCCGCTCGTATTTGTACCCTTCGTGTTCCAAAAAGTCTTCTAGAAGGTCCAACATTTTAGTCATCTGCATATCAGAACACCACCACCAGAGAAGAGTGAGGGACCAGGGGACACCACATCAACAGGCTCCTTTCTCAGAAAAATAATCCCCAGCCTTGAGGTTTTTCCCCATGTACCTGAGAGAATATGAGCACCCTGTGACCTCCTTCCTTAAGGTTCTTTAACATCTTCTGGAGCAGCAACAGCTTTCCAGAGGCTCGAATAAGAGCACTACCATCATACATGCCGTTCGGCATTTTTGGAGCTTCCTGATGAGAAAAAGAGAAAAGGGAGGGAGTAAGGGGTGGGGGAAGAAAACAGCTTGAAGGGATGTAGCTTGGTCTTAGCCCCTAGCTGTGTTCATCAGATGCTGACTCACGTCTGGTCATTTACCTTGGCACAACCACAATGTGTAGCACTATTACGGAACATACCCTGTGCCTCTTCTCTTGCAGTCTGACTCCTAGATGTCCTCTTTCTTACTTAGTCCCTGCTCTTCCTGTCTTCACCAACTTGCATGAATCACAAGATAGCTCCTACGTGTCATACTAAGATACTAGAAAAGGAAAGGCCTTCCAGCATGTTGGGTCTACATAAAGACAGGATGAAAAAACATAGAAGCAGAAAGAGAAGGAGGAGAACCCCTCCATGCATCGCTAGGGAGCTAACTGGCTCCCTGGTAACAGCCAGCAGGGAATTTGCTTACACAGAATAAGTGACTGGACGTACCATAGCAGCCACAGGAAAGAGGTAGGGGTGGTTGCAGCACTTCTTCAGATCCATAACAACATTGAGCAAGGAGACTTGGTTACCACCACCCCGTGCATTCAGTGCCTCAAAGTTTCTCGTCAAAATGTATTTGTAATATTTCCTGAAAAGGGAAAAAAAAAAACCAAACAACTTCAGACACCCCTCATGAGAATGAATAACATACTCTCTTGCTAAACTCTGCACAGCTCCTGGCATTACCTGCCAGCTACCCTAGGCTCTGCCAGTGGCATTCACTATCTCTTTATCCCTTACAGCAGAGCACAGGATTAGTCCTCCCTCTGCTACAGTGGCAGCAGGAAGTCTTCCTCCTACCCACTGTGTAGAAAGCCCTATAGCGAGCATGAGGCTGTTTCAGCATCCTCTTTGAAACAGCAGAACAGAGCAACAGTAGTTCAATAGCAGGTGCTCTCTTCATCCTCACACTCACTTCTGCATGGGGCTCAACTCCACTCTGACAATAAGTTCAGTCTTAGATGGCATATTCTTGAAAACATCAGCTTTGAGACGCCTCAGCATGTGTGGGCCCAGCATGTCATGCAGCTTCTTGATCTGATCTTCCTTAGCAATATCTGCAAACTCTTCCAGGAAGCCCTCCAAGTTACTGCAGAGAAACAGACACTCAGCAAAAGCCACAACAGAAACAGAGATATAAAAACAAGGAAGGGGATAGGAGTGACAAGACAGGCAGGCTGACTACTTGCACTGCAAGACATACTGGAATCTCT